TTTTCAAACTGAGGACTTTATGTCTGAAAGGTCACAAAATTCAAAACCTGCAGGTTTTTTTTAGTCAGTTTTGCAGGTACATACGAGTTTCAGGATTATAATTATAGTATTTAATACATGTTATTTTATTTTATTATAATTGGCAGTTATATATTATAAAAGACTTCCAATTATAATCAAATCAAATTATTGTTCATATTCATACATATTTCAAACATAAGTATGTATATAAAGGCTTTAGAAACAGATAACAGGTTGTAGAGCTGTCAATGACATATTATAATTGTTGTTGCATCTATATGTGACTGTGTGTTTGTGTTGTCACCAGACCGCCTGACAGTCAGCTGCTCCTCTGAACAATATGACCTGGAGTTCATTTTCTCTTTGGACACTAACGTGCTGATACAGACACGAGCAAATAGTCCAGAAAAACAGAGCATTTCAAATGCTACCATGAGCTTACATGGGCAACTGATGGGAAAGCTGATGTGTATGATTGTCCAAAACAATGTCAGCAGAGAACAAACCACCATTCATCTTACAGGCTGTTCAGGTATTACAGTTGTTGTTGTTTTTTAAGTTCTTTTGTTTAGTGTTTACTACTACTACTACTAATAATAATAATAAATATCATTGCTAAAGAGGTTTTAGAGTTTGAAGCATAAATAGAAGTAAACCCTAACCCCACAATGAATTTTAAATTAAACAGCTCTGATGCAGTTAAAGTGCAGACTTTCAGCTTTAATTCAGTGGGTTGAACAAATCTGCCAAACTGTAGATTTTGCCTCTGTAGTGATTTCTTGGATGTTTTTTTTTCTCTTTTCTCAGCTGGCAGCTTTTGAGCTGCATGGAGAGCTTATTTTGTTGTCTGTTTACAGTGAAATCTTCCAAATGCAAGTACCACACCTCAGATCAACTTCAGTCCTTTTATCTTCTTAATTGATAATGACATAACGAAGGAATTGCCCACACTTGCCCAAGAAATAATCTTCGAGTCAGTTGTCCAATTACTTTTGGTCCCTTTTAAAAAAAGGTGGTACATGTTAAGGAGCTGAAACTCTTAAACCTTCCATCCAATTTGTATGTGGATAACCTCAAATACAAGCTGAGTGTCTACAAATTCTGTCTATGTCCATCATATAACTCTAATTGGAAGTGTTTTAGTAAACAGGTAAAAAAACAAAACTTGTGTCAATGTCCAAATATATATGGACCTAACTGTATGTGTGACTTGAGGTAATTGTAGCCCTTTAAACTATATCTTCATCTACAAGAATGTATTATCTCAATATATTCTTCTTAATGATTTTATTTTCTAGGTACTAAGTCTTCCCTCTGCGTTGTGACTGTGGCTGTAGTAGGAGGTGTTGCCATTCTGCTTATTTTGGCTATGTTCTTTGGTACTCGGCATTTCAAAAACACAACTGGTATCATGACTGTTAATGAAGGTAAGATTTGCTGTACATGTTAAATTAACTCTACTGCCTTTGTCAGTTCAGTCTCATTGAGTACCACACTAAAATTACACAATCACTTCCCAAATTAATATAAAACAATGCAGGTGTCTCGACATTCCTGAAAATAATTTTGGAAAATATGAAATTCATCTAGTTAAGTAAGTTAGAGCCATGGCTTGTTGCCCAAAGACACAGTTTTTGTTGTTTTGTCTCTGTATACCACAACAATGTATTTTAAATAAAGTAATCAATATGTGATTGAAATACAGTCTGTGGTGGTGAAGAAGACTGCCAAGATGGTATTTGGTTTAATTAATGAACAGAGGGAAGAAGACAAGGAGATTTGGTGTTGGAATGAGTAAGCACCAGAAAGGCTGGGAAAGAAAAAGTCAAAAGGTCAGGAGCACTTGGCATCTAGTGTACAGCGAAGAGAGAGGTGACAAAGGAAAAAGGGTCAAACTGACGTGTATGTGAGGCTGGATACTGAAGAAGGAGGAAGTGCCTTGTATTGACTTGTTATTTTAAAAAAAATGAGCTGGAAAGGATGTGCAGTAAGTTACAGTGAGTATTTTAAGGACCATCTTCAGAGAGGAAGGCCTCAAATGGAGTGAAGATAGTGAAGAAGGAAGTGCAAAGGATCTGTACGGAAGCGTTGAACTCCAGATTACATACCTGTGAAGATATGATACAAGATACAGGGAAGATACTTGCAAAACAGACTGAACCATTCCCTGAAGCTGTGGGAAGGTTTTTTTAACATTAGGTTAAGGAGGGATGAGAGAGTCATATGTTAATGAGACAGTTTTGATAGAGAAGTATAGAGAAGGCCAGAAGGAGTTGCACTGTGCCTGGGTGGAGAAGAGAAAACAGGGCACTATATGAGAAAGAAGAGTGTCCAAGAACTATATGAGGGTGGTGCAGGACATGTATGAAGACAGTGAGACAGTAGTGTAGTGTGAGGAAGGAGGTCAAGGTGGGGGTGGGATTACATGAGGGATCTCTCTGAGCCTCTGAGGTGGAGGTTTGCATGGCAAGAAGAAGAATGGCATTGCTGAGCCAGCCAGTGAAATCCTTTTTTAAAAGAATGTACCAGTTTACTGACTTCTAAAGTTCTCCTAAAGTTTTGATGGTCTGCATCAATTTGGGTCTTTGGGATGCAATCTAACATCAGGGTTCAATAGATCCAACTCATAAACAGCTAATGCAACACTTTTGTTAAATTCCCTAAGTCTGGAATTCAATCATATTTTGGTTGTTTCTTTCGAAATCCATTGCAGTGGTGCACATAGCACAAACTACCTGAATCTGACAGTATCCTAACATTATTGTTACAAGTCTTTCATATATAATTGTAAAATCTTTTGACTACCTAAAAATCAATTTCTGTTTCTATGTCTTTCAGATGATGCTGAAGATGACATCATCTACTCAGATGTTAAAGTGAAACAGCGTACAAGAAAAGCAACACCACGTTCAAATCAAGATGCAAGTTAGCTTTCCCCTAATACATTCTGACCTAGCACCAGTCTTAAACCTGTTCATGCCAAGTTAGCAGTTTCAGTTAGAAGCTCTCACCAACATCTTACATATAACACTGGAGATTTAAAAAGCTGTGGTCATTAGTGTTTGTGCGTTTCTTGTGCTCTTCTTTGTATATATAGCAAATAACAGCAAAGGTGAGCTGTGCCTCTCTAAGACAACAGCTGAGTCAAGCATCAACCATCATCTCATAGCTTAAACATTTTAGCTAATATTCACTGTGTCTGTCATGACTGTAAAACAATGAAACCCAACTTAGTTGCACAGCACACGCTGAGAAAGTGTATACTATACATGTATCTTGCGTAACACTGGCCTGATATTACTATTAGGAATCATAGCAGATATCAAAATGCCCACTTATTCTATGTAACAATACAAAAAACATGAAAGGCTCACTCTAGAAATACTTCTCCTGTTACAGTTTGTTATTTTAGTCATGTATTCTCAGTGCATACAGCTTTTTGCCTGCAGCTTAGAGTCTCAGTATTATATGTCATGTTTTGTGGTCATGTGACATTTTGAAAGTATAATAAAACGTGTTTTCCTCGTGTTCCACACAATTCCTTCTCAATCAGCATACTTTATTAATCCCAGTATTAATCCCAACATTCTCAAAATGTTGCATTTATTTTCTGTGTTTTGCAGTACAAACTATAAACCAAAGCCAGACATAAAGTGGAAAGAGACAAGAGTGTAATAAACTCACTCTGTAACTTGTGAACAAGAATTATTGTTTTCTTTTATAATCAAATCAAATCACTTTTATTGTCACAACACATTATTGGCACACTGGTACAGCACATGCGAGAGAAATTCTTGTGTCAAAGCTTCACAAGCAACATGTCATGGTCCTTGAAGGTAACGGTGGTCCCCGTGGTAATCGGAGCACTAGGTGCGGTGACTCCCAAGCTAGGCGAGTGGCTCCAGCAGATCCCGGGAATAACATCGGAGATCTCTGTCCAGAAGAGCGCAGTCCTGGGAACAGCTAAGATACTGTGCAGGACCCTCAATCTCCCAGGCCTCTGGTAGAGGACCTGAGCTTGAAGGATAAACCGCCCGCAGGGGCGTGCTGGGTGTTTATATATATATATATATATATATATATATAACATATAGAGAAGTCAGCAGTATGAATATTGTGCAAAAGAAATGGCATTTATGTGCAATATGGAGTGCATAAGTGTCGAAGTTTCGGTAAGTGACAGTGAAGTGTCTATGTTAGTGGTCAATGTTGAGCAGTCTGATGCCCTGATAGAAAAAGCTGTCCCTCAGTCTGCTGGTTCAGGACCGGACACTATCATACATCCTGCTGGACTGAAGTAGTTTGAACAGTGTGTGACTGGGGTGACTGGAGTCTTTGAGGATCCTCCCCGCTTTCCTCAGGCACCGCTTCCTGTAGATGTGCTGGAGGGAGGGAAGCTCACCTCCAATTACTGTATCTTTGCTCCACTCTCTGGAGAGCTTTGAAGTTGTAGGCAGTGCTGTTGCCATACCAGGTGGTGATGGATCCAGTGCAATAAAATGCAGAACACCTGCAAGATCTTGTTTAATTGTGATTGTAAAGGCTATTACTGCAGTAATTGTTTTGTAAATTTGAGTGGATAGTTGTATATTTGTACCTCAATCCATGTTTTCCTATTTACAACCATATGTGAGAGATCAGATTTGTAAATGTGTAAACAAATATCGAAATTTAAACAGAGATTTGTGAAAGCTTTGTAAATGTGTAAAATGTTCTCAAATATAAACATAAATGTGTTGACTCTGATGCATGCATAGAAATGAATGATTTACAACTGACATGTGTTCTTCTCAAAGCACTGAAAAGACCGAAAACTCCTGAGTTACAGCTTCTTTTAACAGACTGTCTGTTAATATTAACCCTGGGATGAAGCATTACAGGCTCACCACCAGGTGGCGCCAGTACCAGTGATTTTAGCCACCAGCTGCCTAGTATACTGCAAGTGCTAGTTGCATACATATAAAGCAGACTTACATGGAGAGACTACACATGTATGCTGTAAGTACATGTTTATGTCATTTTTTAGTCTAAGTATAGTGTAGCTTTGTAAAAACTGAAATGTTATTGTTAATACAACAACTATGCTAGCTCGGTTTATGCTTCAGCTATCAAACCCATACACCAAGTGACAGAAATGAGCTAACTGGTGGGTTCAGCACCAGAGTGATGCACCTGAAACTAATAGTAACCTTACAGCAGTGTGTTGGAGATAATTTGAGTTAGTTTTGAGCCAAGCTGGCTTTGGCTTATCATAAAACTACATCACCATCTATCTGTCTGTCTAAGATAGATTAAAAAAAAATAGAGTTGGCTTTTTAACTTGATTTATTTTAACTCAGTCTTGGAGAGTGAGATGGCTGAGGAATGGGGAATTGCACTGGTACTAGTTTTTACGAACACGAGTGATTTACAGTGGATGAGCCATACCATGAAGAGAAAGGAAAGTGTTGAAGCTAGGTTAATAAGAGAGAAAGTGACGAGTGAGCAGCAGTATAGCTTAATGCCAAGAAAGAGTGCTACTGATACAGTGTTTGTTTTCAGGGTGTTGATGGACAAGTATAGAGACGATCAGAAGGAGCTTCACTGTGTCTTTGTGAAGTAATGTCTCCAAAGTATAAACCACTCTTAATACACGAACATTATTCTATTACTTTTATACCAGATCATTTAACTAACCTTAATATATTATAATCACATTTCTCTCCCTGCAGTTTATATGATATTGTACCCCTCTCTCTCACACTTTGTGTGGGTGTACTTTCTTTGTATCTTTAAATATAAACTTCAGTCAGTGCATCTGCAACAAATTTAAAATGGAAAGAGCTGTGGTTTTAACCTAACAGTTTTAGCATCCCACATTAGGGTGTCAACCGATACTTGCTGTAGACCATGTTGATGAGTTCACAGGACGTGAGAATAAAATCCTTTTAAAGGCATATAGTGCTTCATTGGTATGTTTACAGAGATTCAGAGAAGCATGCGGTATCACAGTCAGTCTAGTGAGAGTAGAACATGGGATTATCTGTGTTGGGTGTCTTGATGAATTAACTTATCTAAACTTTTGTGATGCTATAGTAATATAATGGGACATTTCCATGATTTAAAGGAACCCTCAATGCTGTCTTTTTGCATATATTGCAAAACACACCTTAAAAGATTCTCTTCTATTATCAACAGTTTAACCCCGAGATGATTTTCTGGGCTACACTTAGTAACTGTAAGTAAAGATACTCTTTCCATCCACATAGCAGCTCAAACATGACTAGTGATACTCTAATTTGTCTAACTACTGCATTTACATGTTTGTATAAGTAAAGACAAGTATAATGAGACACTTAATTGCTTGAGTAAGACTAACATGACTTTAAATACATGCTTACTCATTTCTGTCCAAACCACAAGACAAACACAGCAGCCCAAAGCCCGTCATAACTGCCGCCACAGAGAAGAACTGCAGTTGCTGGTAAGTAATGCTAAACTTAATTCTCATCGGTGAAATTACTGTACTATAAAAACAATCTAAAAAATGTAAACATTGATTGATTGATTATGATTGTAAAAAATACTAGATAACACAAAAAATGTTATGAAACCCTTTTGATTGGTCACCATAGCTTTGGTGTCCACAGTTCAGACAAATATGTCATAAATAGTGCTGATGTGTTGACGACAACAGTAAAATTTAAGCTTAAAGTAGCAATTTGAAAACTGTTTTCACATGTAATTATTGCTGCAAAATATTCATTGATAGTTATAATTTGTTTGATCAGCCATATAACAATTAATATAACAATTAAAATGAGAGTTACTAGACTTGTTAAAGTAATGGGAAGTCTTATACTGTGAGTGCTTCCAACAAAAAAATGGTATTTTTAGAAAATATCTGACATACAGGTACAACCCACACATATGCACACAGAACTTTAACTAAACGTCGTACATCGTCTTGATGCATGCTCAATCATCCAAGTAAGGAAATCCCCAAAATTTGATTCTGTTCATCTGGACGTAGTGTTTTCAGTGGGAGAAACTTTTTAATCACTCATCCAAGTGACTTCTTTAGTCTCAGCTGACTGTAGGTTGCCCCAATCTTATAAACAGTACATTAGCATAATGACTGAAACCGGCACCACTGAAGGAAATTTCCACTGGGAGGTCATTGCCACTCTCAGCTTCGACCAAGTGTGTTTGCTTTTGGAACTGTATCTTAATTCCACCTATTTCACATACAAGGGTCAGTACTACAGGCAGAAACATGGGTGGGTCATGGGTTCCCCAGTTTCACCCATCGTGGCCAATTTGTACATGGAAGAAGTGGAAAAGAGGGCTTTGGTATCCTACCCTGGAATGTCCCAGGACATACCACAATTCATGGATAACATTAACTCGGTGGACCGACACATCAAATTCACCAGGGAGGATATGAAAATTGGCAGGTTAGCCTTCTTAGACTGTGAGATTTCCATCAGTAATGGGGGACATCTAAAAGCTGATGTGTACCGTAAACCTACGCATACGGATCAGTATTTAAGGTTTGACTCTCATCATCCACTGGAGCATAAAGTGGGTGTCATCAGGACGCTACAACATAGAGCCAACACCATCCCCACAGACACAGCGGCCAGGGAGGCAGAAGAACATCACATCAAGAAGGCCCTTAGTAAATGTGGTCATCCCACCTGGACATTTGTCAAAGCTGGTAAGACACCTAAAGAAAGCTCTAGCCAATCCAGGAGAGAAGGACAACTGCTGCCTAAGCAAAAACCCATAGTGATCCCGTATGTGTCAGGAGCATCAGAACAGCTGAGACGCATTTTTTCTAAACACCGTGCCTTGGTGGCTTTTAAACCCCACACACAAAAAATTGGTCCACCCCAAGGATCGGGTCCCCCGACACAAACAGAGTAATGTAGTGTACCAAATGATTTTATATTTACAGTGAGTCTCGTGCTCTGGTTGTGATGAAGGCAAATAATGTCTTCCTCCATTTTCTTCATGAAAGGGAAAAAAGACCAGAAATATACCATCCAGGTGCCAGTGGTGAATTCACATGCCAGAGAGTAAGAAGACATCTTATTTTAAATATGGTGAGTGACTGTTGTCATGGCGACATTAGTTAAAAAGGAAAAAATGTCTAGTATGTCAGTAGTTGTTGCATTATTTTCCAAAGTAAGAACAGTTTCTATTGATTCATTGTGTAGATAATTCACACATTTGATAGTACACTACACATGCAAAATAATCTGATTCTGTCCAAACAGAAGATGATTTTGATCTACATCATCATCGCAACTCCAGCAATGACCGCTGTGCCACAAGGTACGCTTCAGCCAGTAAACAGTACCTAGAAGAACAAAATGAATCCATATTGTTAATCCACATTAAACATTTTAATGTTTTATCTTATTATTTGTTATTACTTAGATGATTTATTGTTTAGTCTGGTGAGAGAACATTTCTGTTTGATATAGTGCTGTACATCAGATAACGGTGCCATTAATAGTATTACTCAAGTTTCATACACATGAATTTTGTCAGTAACAATTAATTGGTTACATATATACAAAGTTTATGGTTTTCATTTATTTAGTGCAAATAAATGATAGTTATTAATTTCCCTCTTTGTATACATTTGTTTATTCATTTTCTTACCAGGGTCTTCAGAATGCAATCTAACTGCACCTGGACCCCAGACGTGTTTTGGAGTTTTAGGAGAACCACTCGTTTTTTACATACCTACTAAACCACATATGAAGACAAGCTTGAAAAAGAGTACAGAAAAAATTTTAACCTTAATAAATGATACATTAATTAGTCTCAATGAAAAATACAAGGATCGTACTATATTTTTCCCAAATGGAACATTGAAACTCGAAAAAGCAACAAACCATGACTCTGGAGAGTACAGCATGGAAACACACAGTTCTACTGACGGTGTGTTATTGAACACAGTTAACATCCATCTACATATACTTGGTAAGACCAACAACTTATTGACTTATTGAATAACATCTGTGTAATAACAATGTACATGTCAAAATGTGCTAAAAAAAATGCTAAAACTGGAAATTTAAAAAGCAGGTAGTTACATGAACAGTTTGTATTTATCGTTGTTCGTATTGCTGGTTATATATTATAAGAGAGTTATCAAATTATCATTCATTTTATGCACACATTTTATATAAGTAAGCTATGAGTAAGCACTTACATAAAGCCTGTATTGATATGTATTTACACTCCTTAGAGTAGCAGTGAATGTCTTATTGCAGTTGATACTGTGTCTATATGTGACTATATGTTTGTTTTTTTCAGCTCCTGTGTCAGAACCAGCTGTTATGCAGATGTGTTTGTCACCAAAACAGATGACAGTCAGCTGTTTCTCTGAAGGAGATGAAGTAGAGCTCATTTTGTCTTTGGATGATAAGTTGTTGATACAGACTACAGCCAACAGTACAGAAAACAACAGCGTTTCAAATGTTACCATCAACTTACCTGGTCAGCTGATGGGAAACCTGACATGTGTTGCTCAAAACAATGCCAGCAGAAAACAAACTATCACCCACCTTACAAGCTGTACAGGTAGTGTGAAATATATGTAACAGAAATGAACATGTTAAATGTGTTGTAAAGCTAAAATATATCTTTGGATAATCAAAAACATTACTAACTTGTAAGTTGGTTTTTTTTTTAAAAGCAGTATAGATCTGTTTTAGGATTTTGTTTTAAAAAAATATCTATGTTGACAAACTCTCCCAAAGATCACAAAAATTGCAAGATGCAGTTTTTTTTAACAATAATAATTTAGCAGGTACAAAGAGAAACAGAGTGTCTGTAGATATCGACCACTGCAGAGCTGACAGTGGATGTTAAATTGCAGTTTGTATTGCATCCATATGTGACTATATGTTGACTATATGTTTGTCTTTCAGCTCCTGTGTCAGAACCAGCTGTTTTGCAGATGTGTTTGTCACCACAACAGATGACAGTCAGCTGCTCCTCTGAAGGAGATGAAGTAGAGTTCACCTTGTTTTTGGATGATAACTTGTTGATAAAAACCCAACCCAGCATTGCAGAAAACCGCAACATTTCAAATGTTTCTATCAGTTTACATGGTCAGCTGCTGGGAAAGCTGATGTGTATCGTCCAAAACAATATAAGCAGAGAACAAACCATCATCCACCTTATAAGCTGCACAGGTAATATAAAAAAAATATTACGTTCTGTTATATTTAAATAGTGATTTATTTTATTATTTTATTTAGTATAGGTATTTATAGGAGTTTTTCTCATTTTAAATGATTTATTTTATTTATTTTAAATGCTGAAGCATAAATTGGAAGTACGTATGACTTGAAGACTCTTGGCGCTTGACGGAGCCGGTCGCACTTTCTCCTTCTCCCTCTCCCTTATCTTTCCTGCTTGGCTTCTCATGTCTGAGGTGTTTTTTCTGTTCTCAAACTGATCTCCCTGTTGGAGCGCAGTCTGGGGTTCTTTTTTCTCCTTGTCTTTCCTCATGTTGTGCATTTTGCATTGTTATACCCCTCTGACCTGTCTTCTCCATGTGATGTAGTGTAATGTATGTATGGTCGGAAGGGTAAGATGGCCCTGGCAAAGGTCGGCAGCCTTAACCCAATTTCCTTTGGGGTCAACCTTCGGGATCAATAAAGTTTTATTGAATTGAATTGAACATTGTAGCCCAGTAAACTATATTTACATTATTTCAGTAATTTCTTCTTAATGGTTTTAATTTCTAGGTAATATTTCTGACCACTGCATTGTGACTGTGGCTGTGGTAGTAAGCGCTGTTGCCATTCTACTCATTCTGGCTGTGTTTCTTGGTATCCGGAAATTCAAAAACACAACTGGCATTATGACTGTTAATGAAGGTAAGATTTTTATATTAAATGTGTTGTCTTTATCAATTTTGTCTCAATGATCACCACACAGAAGTATATGCTAAATTGTTATAAAACAGTTAGTGGCAATAATTTGTTGGACAAAAGGATATTTTTGTAGCGTTGTAGCAACTTCTGTACAGGACCACAATTGATTTCAACACAAACAGTCAATATGTGATTGAAATGCTGACTTTCACCTTTAATTCAAAGAATTTTATAAAAGTTTTTCATTAAATATTTAGTAATATTTACCCCTCATTTGTAAAAGGCTGATGGGTTATTGTCTTCACCCTGTTAAGCAGATGGGCAGGCGGGACACCCAAGTTTGTGAATGTGATAATTTGAGAATAAAGAAACGTAGCAAATGTATCAAAAGTTAATTAAAGTCATATCTACAAAAAATCTTGGGTGAGTTCGAATCTCAGTGAAATAGACCTCAAAATCAGAGATCAAGTTTTCTGAAAATCTTGTGAATGTGCTTGTGAGAACAAAGCGACGTGGGATTTTGAAAGTGATATGATAGGCTTTTTTCTACGTGGACACTGAGGGTAACACTGGCCACCACCAGTATTTTTTTTTATTTCAGTCTCCAGTTTTCAAAGGAATAAAATTTTACTGGAGAAACTAACATGATCTAATTCAATCTTGCAGTATGACTGCCTACAACCCATAGAGCTTACAATGCTACTTTTTCTTTCCTTGTGTTGCCACAAGCCACATGTTGCTAGTTTGCAGCTTATCAATTTAATTATGTATTTAATAGTTGAATCCCGGCAGAGATGGGGTTGCTTCATGATCATTCTACTTCTATCAGCAGTCACATCATCAGCAAGCATGATTGACCCATTTGCCCATAACATTACTTTCTTTTCTTTTTTTTCTTTTTTTTTTTTTTCTTTTTTTTGCCTGTCCCGTTTGGCTCTTTTGCCATCAGAATTATTGTCTAAAGGCAAAGAAAGATGCCCAACGGATTTACTTTACCAAATTGACCATCCCAGCCTTGCTGTAATGGTCCATTTGATTCACCTTTTATTGTTTATTTTATTTTCACTTGCTGAATACGGGACAGACTTGGCTGGGGGAAAGAAGGGGAGAAAGAGAAACAGCTGAGAAGAGGGACGGGGGAGAAGGGCAAAAAACAAAAACCAACAGAATGGGCAGAAAAAGAAAATGCATATATCGATCACCTGGATCACCTGTTGAGAAAGAAAAAAGAAAACAAGCAGAAGTAAACAAGAGTAATAGAATAAATAACATCACAATGATATATGGGAATATGACAGTAAATACTAAATATTAAACATTATTGTGCAGCACGTAAGATCAACAGCACACAGTGTGCTTTGGGGTAGGAGCCAAAAAGGGTGTAGTTTGTACACATAACATTACTTTCACCTAGTAATACAGTCTGGTATCCTTGGGCTCATGAGCGATTTCACTCCTTTTCCATACTTTTCTCCTCCCTTCTGATACAAGTTAATATTGGTTTCATCTGTCCAGAAAATTTATTTCAGAAATGTGCAGGCTCTTTTTAGATCAAGCCTCACCTTACTCTGCTGGAGTGTAACTATTGGTTTGCAGCTTGTAATGAACTTGTTATGTTGTCCATTTCCACCCCAAAAGGTACTTTACTTTTTGGGCACTCTTCCTTATACTCACATTTAAAATGTACAGCAAAAAGCTTCAATTACAAATTTAGAGCTTTTGTATGATTTTAGATATGATGTCGGCTTCATTTTTCAGGAAATAAAAAGGAAACAGAACTTGGCCTTAATGCAGCTTGTTAATCAATTGTCTAAATATCCAGTTTTGAGCCTCTGAAATTGAGGGTCTATTTTTTTAAGCCTTGAATTAAAGCCAATTAAAACTGAAGTCTTTCCTTCAATCACACGTATTTGTTTTATTTGAAATCCACTGTGGTGATGTACAGAGCAAAAAATACAAATATTGTGTCATTGTGAATCTTTGTGAAAACTTTCTTGTTTTCAATGTACAACATCAGCGTCTTTTGATTACACAAGACACAGTTTTCTGTTTCTACTTCTTTCAGATGAAGCTGAAGAGGACGTTGTCTACTCAGATATTAGACTGAAGCAGCTTGCAAGAGAATCAAGAGAAACACCGCCTATTTCAAATCAAGATGAAAGTTAACGTTCTCCTAAACAGTCTGACATTCTGAAACCTAAACCCTAACATGTTGACTTTCAGTCAACTGTCTAATAAAACTATGGCACTTTAGCAATTCCATCTTTGCAGTGAACGTGAAGGTAAACATATTTAACAAGTACTCACTGGATTATTAATTTTGAAGGAAACATAAAGGAGGGGAAAGTTATTTAGAAGGCATTTGATATACATGAAATACTTATTTATACTTATTTATAAATGCTTTATATTTGAACTACATTTTATTTGACATAATTTAAATAAACTACATCAACCTTGTAAAGGTTCTAACCAACATTTAACCTTGGAGATTAAATAAAAGGCTTTGATCAGTGATGGTGCTTTCCTTGTGTTGTGTTAAGCAGACGTGGGCTGTTCATTTTGTTTGAGATAAAAACATCAGGGCTACTTTTTCCTGTGTTGTCATGACATTAAAACCACAAACTATATCCTGTTTTCACTGAGCTGCTAAACCTCTAAACCATGTGACATTACCTAAGCTTCACAGTTGTCAGTGAGAAAGGGGAAAAAACTGTATAATGCATAAAACACTGGCTTGTTTGTTCACAGCTGTTGATCATAGTAGAGAATTAAGAGATCAATTTTTTTGAAGACGTTTTACCTCTCATCAGGTGGAAAGTCCCAGTCCCTAGTAGGGGCTATCCCTTAGGAGGTGATCATTGACCCACTATTAATCATCTGCGACATGACATTAGCCATAGTGTGTAAAAAGGCGTGGGCCATTACCATCAGAGGTTTTGGATGAAACCACTGTAAGACCTTTACCCTATCATGTGACCTATTGAGGGATCTCAGGACTGCATTGTGGGTAGCTGACAGTTGGTGTCATAAGCTGCTCACTCTGTTCAAAGGTGGCCGTTCACAGTGGACATAGATGGTCTATTTAGCTCCTCTTTCAAACCAACCATCTGTCTTTTCAGTCCAAAATATGAACATTGGTATCCCTGAAAGAGTGACTTTGTCCTTTAGGTGCAGAGGTACAGCTGAGTCTTGACCTGTCGTGGTGGCTCTTCTATGTTGTGTCACGTATTTGTCGAGTGGCTATGCGGCTTCTCCAATGTAGAGTTCTCTGTACTGCACAGCATATGCTTTGTTGCTCGGCTTGTGTTTTGGATGACTGAGAACCAACAGAGACATCAAGCAATACAAAAACATGAAGGGCACAAACTCCCCTGCAGGCAGTTCTTCTAAGCAGTATTTTAATATAGTTTCAGTATATTGTGTAAGGTGACATAAATCCATCAATAATTTATGTTATATGCTTGACATGTATGAAAAAGTCAGTAAGTGGACTTTGTGAGACACGTATAACTGTGTGCGTTTGGTCGGCAACCTGGTGATGCAATTAAAATTTTGTTGTATTTTCAAATGCAATGATAATAAATGCTTTGAAGCTTGTTGACCAACATTTAGATTTCCAGTAATATTTGTACAATAGTACAATAAAATCTGTGCTCTCCTCATGTTTTACATAAATCTGTCTCAAAGTGTTACATTTATTCTCTGTATGTATCTCAGCCATACAAACCATTACGTTTAAGTCAAGCATAATGTAGAAAGGGACAACGCTGTAATAACCTTGCATTCCTTTACGTGTATTAGTTGGTGATTAGTGATAATTCTTGTGATGATCTAGTAAAAGCTGTAGCCTTTAGTAGTAAATGTAAAAACGCATAGTATCAGCACTCATCACATGGTGGAGCCAAAGTTTTTACAGTTAACTAAAAGCAATAAAATGCAGAGCACGTGATCTGCAAGATCTTGTGAAATTCACTCAGATTTAAAAGTTTGATTTGTAAACGTGGAGACAAATCTGTAACTATGTGCACAGAAAGGTGTTATTTATAAGACAATGAATGTTTTTCTGAAACTGCTGAGAATAAAGACAAGCCATCAGTTGCAACTTGCCCATTCATTATACTGGCTCTCAGTTTTACATATGAGTTTTGCTTCACTCAAATGTTTATACATAAATGTGTGTGAACAGACTTTTCTTTATCTCTTGACATAAATCCGGTTCGTGCTGTCTGCCACGCAGTACTTCAGAACATTCAGACATTAGTGTGTCTGTAGCAGAGTCACTGAAAAAGGAAAGAGTTGTGGCTTTAATGTAATGTGGTTTTCACACCAGGATGTTAACTGATACTTCCTTTTGCTTCTTTTCCACAAACTTTTGTGATGCAGACTATAGTGATAAATGTACATTGCAGGACATAAAAAAACAAAGTAAACAGTTGACATTAATCTTGTGAGTGATGAAGAGCACAGGTTCAGGCTGTCTGCCACGCTGTGGCAGTGACTTAAGCCTATTTTAAGACATCAGCTACCTTGTGCAGTTGGTGTCAGGCAGTCACAGGCATACATACTACATGGGATAAATGATATGATATGCAATTTTTGTGTTTTCATAAGTATCTATTACAGTATCTTTGTTTAAAAACAATAAACAAAATTCTCCATCATCATATTCTTAACAGAACTGAAGCAGGAGTATCTAGAGGGTTCAGTCTCTAACAGGCAGCCATAGTGATTACCTGACAGCTGCTTACTGGGTGAACAGGTCTGCTGGTAATGCAGTTAATATGAGACTTGGCCTGCATCATTTTGACCAACCGTCGATGGACCAACTGTTCGTGGACTTTAGCTCAACTTTCAACACTGTCATGCCAGACACCCTTTACTAGAAGTTCACCCAAGTTAGTGTGTCCACCTCCACACATCATCATTACTTGCCGTCAGGGGTTTTTTTTTCCCCCGCTGCTCCTCTTCCTCTACACTAATGACTGCACCTCAGGACAACCATCTGTGAAACTCCTGTAGTTGACGGATGATACCACCATCATCGATCTGATCCAGAACAGCAACGAGTCTGCATACAGGCAGGAGGTGCAGTCAGAACCACCGGAAGCTTAACCTGTACAAGACTGTGGAGATAATATTATATTATTATTATTATTATCCTAGGTTGCAGTTATGGCTGTTAAGGTCTTAGTTCTTAGGTTTTGTCAAAAGGTGTTCCATGTTGTGTCCACTCTGTGCCTTTCTGTCCCACGTTTCAGGTCTCTGTGTTCTGTCTCCCTGGTCTCTATCAAGTTTACATGTCTAGAGTTCAATCAGTGTGTTTCCTGTTTTACTTTGAAGGTCCATGTCTCATGTCAGTGTTTCTAGTTTTGCTTCCCTTGTCTCGTCCAGTCTAATTACTCCCAGCTGTGCTTTCCTTCTGTGTCTCATTTTCCTCGTTATACCTCGGTGTATTTAAGCCCCATGTTTCTGTTTGTCAGTGCCTGCCAAGTTTGTTTTGTATATTCAAGTTTAGTTTTTCTTGCGTCCAGCATTAAAGCTGCCATTTTGAGTTTAAGTTTTGCCTCTGTGTTGAGTCTGTATTTTGGGTCCTTTTCTGCCTCCCTGCACACAGACCTTGACAGATCCACCTTTTCACTGAGTTTCAAGTGGTCTTCATATACTGTATACCCTAGGCCCAGCAGAGTTTGTACTTCTAGCAAGTTCAACCTGCCACAAGAGCTGTTGGCCATCTTGTACACTGCCATCATCCAGTCTGTCCTGTGCACATTAATCATTGTCTGGTTCAGTTAAGTCCTGACACAGGACAGGGCCAGACTGCAACAGACAACCAGGTCTGCAGAGAGATCACCAGTCCTGATCTGTACACATCCAGGGTTAGGAAACAGGAAGAAAACATCTGCAGACCTCTCACATCCTGGACATAAACTGTTCAAATTCTTCAAGCTGCCACTCTGTGAAATAACCCACTGTTATCATTCACGTCCTACTCACATACAAGTTGCACTACTCAATTTGTACTATTAAGATGAATATCTAAGGTTCATCCAAAGTTGCACTATTTGTCATTTATGCCCAATTTATAGTTTGTTATAGTTTGTCAATATCCTGGCATCTGGTAGGAGATATTGGTTCATGAAATCAATAATAGTGTGAAACAGCTTTGTTCCAGAGGCAATAAGGCTGCTAAACTCACTGTAACATTCACAAAATAAGCCATCTTTTATACATATTTATTTTTAATCTTTCCTTGTGTTTATTTCTTTGTGTTGTGTGGTCTCCATGTTGCTCAGATCCTGGCCCTGAGAAACACAATTTTGTCCCAGTGTATTTGAAATATGATTGGAATTGGAAAGGCAACATGCAACTCCAACAATCTCCATGAGTGTACGTGAAAATCTTCAGCAAAGTATTGATTAGTAGCTTTAACACTCAAAAGTGCAACAGAAATGCTCCTTGGAATGTTAGCCTTTTGAAGTGACATGGTTTTTTTTCTTTTTAGATAGAATTGTATTAATCCCTTGGGTCGGTTCCTCTGGGAAATTTAGTAATTTTGTACCAGATCATTTAGCTAGTTTTAAGGTGCTGTAATCACATTGCTTTTGAATTTATTTCATCTAATATATCTGTGTGTGTGTTCTTTCTTTGTGTCTTAAAATAAACATGTTAGTCCCTCAAATGTTTATACATAAATGTGTTTGAACAGACTTTTCTCTATCTCTTGACATAAATCCTGAGATGAAGATCACAGATTTGTGCTGTCTGCCTTGGAACATACATGTTTGTGTGTCTGTAGCAGAGAAACTGAAAAAGGAAAGAGTTGTGACTTTAAACTAATGTGGTTTTCACACCAGGGTGTTAACTGATTTAACTGATACTTCCTTTTGCTTCTTTTCATAAATGTTTGTAATGCAGACTATAGTGATAAATGTACATTGCACGATATAGAAAAACTAAAAACATAAAATAAACAGTTGACATTAATCCTGAGATAAAGAGCACAGGTTCAGGCTGTCTGCCACGCTGTTCTTTAGTATATAGCACCAGGTCGTGGCATCAACAGTAAGTTAAGCCTATTTTAAGACATCCGCTACTCAGTGCAGTTTGTGTCAGGCAGGCACAGACAGACATACTTGATGAGATAAATGATATGATATTCAACTTTTAGGGGTTTACATAAGTATCTAGTGCTATATCTTTGTTTTAAAAGAACAAACAAACAAATAAAAAATCCTCAAAATAATATTCTTAACACAACTTGGAAAAGGAGTATCTGGACAGTTCAGAATATAACAGGGAGCTATAGTGATAGATAGTTACACATTTCCATGATAAATAAGAAAGTGCACATAGTATGTTCATAGTGTCAATGCAGAGCTACACACCAGGGCCACTGCTTCATCCACGAATCTGTTTTGGTGTTTGGTTCAAACTGTATAAGGTCAGAGCAGCCTTTATGGACCTGAGAATCACCA